AATACGATACACAATATGAAACAGCATTGAACCTTACACCCTGTGTTCAATTTTTGTGTTTATAAAGGCTTTGACATCTTCATAGATCATTACTCCACTACTATCATCATGGCAATTAAGTGGATCAATGGTACTGGATGGATTCTCAAGCTCATCGCCCATTAAAGGGCATGGAATATTTGGAATTATCAATTCATTTTCATTTTGTTCAGGTACAGGCCCATCATAATCTATTCCATATGCATCAATTTCCTCCTGAAATAATATAGCAGAAAATGTTTGTAACCTTATAACAAACACATAACAAACAAAAGGTGTTTAGTTCTGCTACTATTATTTTTACAATCTAACCATTTTGCAAGTATCCTCTATACATGTATGCATGATGCCTGGTATTTGCTTGTAGCAAGTGGTGTATTTACACCTACCTGGTTACGTGGTTCAAATAGCTCGCCCATTGCTCGATTAGATGATTGTGCCATAGACAAAGATCCCTGGATCCACAGTTGACGAGGTGTTTTGTGCTGTGCCGAGCTAAGTTTGTGGTGGTTCCATCCTTCATTCCAGTGACTTAAATCACGATTAATAATCGGCAGAAAGGTGTAATGTAGACTAAACATGTCAACATCATTATCAATATCAAGGAACAAATGGTCCTCCAAATGGTAAAATAAAAGGTAAAATTTAAAAAGGATCCCTTGAAAGACATCACGCCACAAGCGTTCAACCCTTTGATTGTGTACGCTTTTCCCCGCGATAAAGCTGCCTCTGCCTGGACCTCTATCAGGATGTTGCAACATAAACAGGGCAACCTGTTCATTCTCACCACCTTTATCTCCACGTATACGAGACGGAACACCAAACTTTTGTGTGGCATTCTCAAATAACTTCAGCACAGTGTCTGCTCTGTTGTTATCATTGCAGTGCAGAAAAACAACCATGCTAGAACACCCATCTATTGCTCCGTGAATCACAAACTTCCACATGCAGGTACAAAAAGAGCAGGAAGCTAAAAATATGCAGTCTACAAGCGCTATTGTTAAATTTAGACACAATTGCATGTTTCATTCAAAAAGTTTTTATGTGATTTGCTGTCTATATAAAGATAATATGGGAAACGATGAAGGTGTATAAGTACCTAAATTAGTACAACTGAATTATTTAATGCTAGGTGAATGGTTAATGCAAAATCAATGTAGTTACACATAATACCCAAATTATTCATTCACTTGTTCACTTACCGTATCAACTTATGATTGCCGTCAATGTGCCATAGTGCATTGGGGCATGGTACATTATAGACTCTTCTATGGATTGTTTGAATCCTTCTGGCTATCACTCCCTCCGGATCAACACGTCTAAGGCTGGATCTCACGTGAAAAATTGGTACTCTTATGCCTTGTGCAAGGAGTAGTCCTTGCATACACACCTGTATTCGGTAATTTGCGAAGAATTTCCTGTACAACTCTGTCTAATTCATATTCAGTTATAATTGAATAAGTTGCTGCTACTGATAAGCCAAATTCAGACATTCTTCGAAAAACAGTTCTTCTTGAAACTCCAAGCATACTGGATATGTCAGAAACACTAAATCCTTCGCGTAACAGAAAATCCAGTTGTTCTTGTGGGATAGCATATTTTGGACGACCTGGGTCACCAGAGAATATTTGAGATGACTGATAAGAGAAACTAACATTGGAACTCGAATCAATGGTGTCTTTTGCTGCACATATCTTAGATATGACTTGGAAAGGAAAATCATGCAAAAGTTGCAATGACACAAGTTCATCTTTCAGTAAAACAAGTCTATCATAGACTGCGTCAAGATTATTCGGCTCCATTTCTAAGCATGCTGAGATTGCATTAATCTCAGAAATGACAGGCTGTGCCCAGTCACTAGCCATGTTGCATAATGCATTGTGGGATACGGAAGTCTACTTTCTTTGATAATAACAATAATGGTATAATAATTTCACAATAATGATATAATAATGTAAACACAATGAAATAATAATAGTATAATAATGAAACAATAACGTAATAATAATGTAAACACAGTGAAATAATGAAACAATAATGTAAACACAATAAAATAATGGTATAATAATTTCACAATAATGATATAATAATGTAAACACAATACAATAATGAAACAATAATGGTATAATAATTTCACAATAATGATATAATAATGTAAACACAATGAAATAATGAAACAATAATGGTATAATTTCACAATAATGATATAGTAATGTAAACACAATGAAACAATGGTATAATAATTACACAATAACGTAATAATAATGTAAACACAATGAAATAATGAAACAATAATGGTATAATAATTTCACAATAATGATATAACAATGTGAACAGAATGAAATAATGAAACAATAATGGTATAATAATTTCACAATAATGATATAATATAAACACAATGAAATAATGAAACAATAATGGTATAATAATTTCACAATAATGATATAATAATGTAAACACAATGAAATAATGAAACAATAATGGTATAATAATTTCACAATAATGATATAATAATGTAAACACAATGAAATAATGAAACAAGAATGGTATAATAATTTCACAATAACGTAATAATAATGTAAACACAATGAAATAATGAAACAATAATGGTATAATAATTACACAATAACGTAATAATAATGTAAACACAATGAAATAATGACACAATAATGGTATAATAATAACACAATTAATAATGATAAAGTAATGTAAATACAATAAAATAATAATGGCATAATAATTACACAACAATGATGTAATTATAAAATAATGATTGAATAAATTAATCATGAAGAAATAATGAGAAAATATTTAATTTTGGCACTAATCTCACCCCATACATCCCATCCCGCTTAACAACATCGTAGTTTATGATGCGTCCTCGCTGTTGAATATTGATATCTCGAGGTGTGTGGGTAGCCTTTATTCTATCCAAACACAGCTGGTCGTCTGGTTCGTTTATTTTTATTTATAAATGTATGGCTACTGGTTTGTCTTAATTGAGTCATAATGTAGAAAGTGGGTTGTTAACCTGGTTCCGAATTGTGTTTTGGTCTCCCCTGCGTATTGTTTTTGACATTGTTTGCATGTGATTTTAATATATCATAACATTTCTAGTGGACCAGGTGCATGTTATATGATCTGTTATTGTGCATGACGGGGTTAGTTTTGGTGCTCTGAAAACTGATATATTTGTGTCAAAGCGGGGAGTCGTCGTCACCTGCGCACGCAATCGTGTTCTAATCGACGATAACAACACGCGCTAAAAACGCAAGTGCTCATGGGTAGTCGCTTGTTTGTAAACAATGACACGCTGTGGCCATCTAACGCATGCACAGGTGACGACTCTCCCGCTTTAATATTTACAGACGCTGCTGAAGCCGCATTTAGTAAAACCTGGTTCTTGGGGTGTGCATTTTAACGAGCTGTGGACAAAAATGTACCGGATGTTCTTATTGCGACTCCGTGAAATAATAGGTGGATACAGGCATGGAGCTCCATGATACAGGATAGCGTTTTACAACGTGGTGTGATTGTGTTATTTCTTTAATATTAGGGTGTTTGGGCAAGGCGACTAGGGAAATACATAAATTAGGTTCAGGTTTATATGACAATAACTTAGCTCTAGGAACTTGCTTAGCATCAATGTGTGGCTCATTTTTTTTCAATCTAACATATATCGGGACCTTGACGTTCACAGTTTTGATCTATGAATAGTGACATCGCAATATTTTAACAAGGTAATACGTGATACGTACCTGACCCGATGTAGCGTTGAAGTCGGATTAACGTTCACTGACTGTGTACCTTAAATGCATTCTTGTACAGATGACCGTTAGAGTATACTGGTTGAAATAGATTGACTCCATTTTGTGTTTAAGGTTTGTTTAAGGTGTTTATTGCGGGGGAATATAATTGATAATTTGTTTGCAATAGAGGGATTCTCGACGAATTACGAAACATGTCACTATAGCAATGCGCATATTATCCAAAAACTTGAGTGTTAGGCATTACGATTGACTCTATTTGTTCTTGGAATAAATTCATTATGGAACAAACCAAACCCTAAAGAAAATTAGCGATTGTTTTCCTGTTTCGATGCGTTGTCGGGTGATGTGTTTTTCTGTATTACTCACATACTTGCAAGATGTCTAATATTGCTCTATTAGTATTAATAGTTCAGCAACCAAAAATCCGAGACACACTTGTGGAATTGTAGAAATAATGGTAATATAGGATGACTGAGCGACCAGAAACGACTCACTATTTTTTTATTTCAGATATTTTCCATAAGTTAATCCAGTGTAGTAAGTAAACAATGACTTCTAACGCATAGTTTCTACCAATATGTCACATTTCCGAATATATAGTGACATGGTAAATACTAGTTTCATACAAATTAAAACGTTTCAATTACAAATATGGTGTGTGTGTTTTTAGCACAGTGTCTAATGCCTTCATTTTTGAATGTACAAATGTGTATAGCAGTATACAAAGCTGTATACCCTCGCGCAACATGAAATTAGTTGTTGTTGTTATTGTTATTTATGTTCTGTCAACGGAAGTACTATTAGCTACATCGTGAGACATTGGGACGCTAAATAAAATGGGATTGTATATATCTGTATGCGTGGGCGTATTAATAAAAACGTATGCCTCGACGCTTAGATTATGAACTCCGACCGCTCTGAAAACCTAACCCTATTTTAATTGAGCCTACGGAGTCTGTTAAAGCGCCCATAAACATGGCGGCCACGTTGGGGCAGATTCCTATCCGGAAGGGCAATTGAAATCACTGATTGAAACCATGTTCCGCAAGTTAGGCGATACCGAGAAGAGTAGTCGAAAAATACGGAGCGACAGAGACACAGTGGAAATGGTTGTCCGGTTGCTGAATGAACGGTACAGCTTGAACTTAATTTAAGCGTCCTATCTCAGTATCTGATATTATATTTTCTAGTACTATTTCAAATGTTTAAAGCTTAGCTTTACTTTCTGGTGTTTTGTATTTTTATTTGTGTGGATATTCTCATCAAGTTTCGACCAGAGGAATAAATAAAACATATTCAATATTCGTTAAAAAGGTAGGAAAGAATATACTTGAGGTAGGGCATTCAAGTCGTTTAAGTATAAAGTCCAAAATCCATAACTTCACAAACAAAAGTTTGGGTTTTCCCCGAGTATGGTGTCATAATTTACCCATGATCCTTTGCTGGAGAATCAAGTTGTTGGAGTACATATGCTACTGAAAAGTTGAATATGTCGCACCTGAAAAGTGATATACAACATTTGAATTCTTGTGCATTTATGGAGCTCTTTCATCTTATAAAGGTATCTTCTCAGCCTGGATTTACACTTTAACCAATAATAATAAACACATAACATATAATCTTTAATTTTGGCCCAAACATCCTGAAGCAGATTTGCCAAAAATCTGAACTTTGTCAGGACAGTTCTGTAATTCTTATTTTATTATCTTCTTTTTTATTTGTTCAGATATTGTTATAACTGATGAGTTTAAATGTGATATACAAGTACTTGCTTCATTATTACAGTTTATTGGTTCAATTTTTCCATTCGTATACATTTACATTTACAATTGAATAATTACCAATACTGATTTTTTGACCATAGTTCTAATCTTAGTTATCTGTGTATATTTTAGGTACCCAAACTTAAAATTAGGTTTTCAGTTTCACTTTCCAGAATTTTCTTTCGAATGGAAAATGATTATTATCTCTCGTTACTAATGGTTATAACTTTGTGGGAACCTTGGTTTAGGTTCACAGGTGGCTGTGTTCGACTGATTTACATCCTAACCTACATAAATCCTTTTGTTTAGAAACTTATAATATTAAAAAAATAGCAAATGAAGTTGTTTATTCGCCATTAATGCTAGAGG